CCATAGGCAAAGTGGGGGAGAACAAGAGGTCACAAGACCAGTCAAGCAAAGCAAGGCAAGCTCAGGGTGGATCACAACGTCACCACACAATCTGAGCACACGCACAGGGCCACAAGGCCAGTTCACATGCAGAGTTATATATCAAGGTGAACAAGCAAGGCAATGACCAAAACCTAGCAAGGGTAAGCATGCAAGTGCAGGTATATATAGATCACAGTACAAGCAAAGTCAAGAAGTGAGCAAGTGAGGCCAAGTAGGCACAAGACCTAGCATCGTACAGAAGCGCTGATGATCACAAGGCTGAAGTGCCTTGGTAAAGATATCCGCAGTGTTGGCCCGAAAGGCCACGTAAGCAAGGCGCAGCTGACCACGCTGCTGTAGCTCATGAGCAAGGAAGTAGCGAAGAGCAATGTGCTTCGTTCTGTGCTCCAGTCTGTGCTCCCGACACAAGGCCAGCATGGCCTTGTTGTCTACGTACAGAACTGGAGGAGAACGAGGCGGCTCTCCCAGGTCAGTCAGCAGGTAGGTGAGCCAGCGTAACTCCTGTGCAGCCATGGCCCCTGCGTAGATCTCAGCCTCACAGCTGGAGCTGAGAACAGAAGACGAGCGGGTAGACCGCCACGAAACAGAGCCGGAACCAAGGCTGAAGGTGTAACCCTGTGACGACCGCAGCGAAGCCAAGTTATCAACCCAAGACGCGTCTGCGTGACCAGTGAGGACCACTGGACTCCGCCCTCCAAGCACTAGCCCCATGCTTGACGTACTGCACAAGTAGCGCAACACCCTCTTCGCTGCAGCCATGTGCTCTCGTCGGTGTCTCCCAGGAGTAACATAGCGTGCCAAGATGCTAAGAGGGTATGCCAGGTCAGGTCGAGTGCAGGTCATCAGGTACATGAGGCAGCCAACAAGCTCTGGGTACGGGCCAGTCAGCTCTATGGACTCATCCGAAGGCAGAGCTGAGAGCGAGTGGCGAGTAGACAGAGGAGTGGCCAGAGGCGAGGAGTACGTGAAGTCGAAACGTTGAAGGACCTGCTGCACCATGTGTGACTGAGTCAGGGTAATGGTGCACCGTGCAAGCCAAGATAGCTACGCAATTCACCCAGGTTTGTGCACGTGTGTCTCTTCTGCAGCTCGGACTTCACGTGGGCGAGTTCAGCAGTGTCAGCAGTAGCAAAGACCAAGTCGTCGACGTACACGAGGATGTAGAACGGCGGTAGTGAAGTGTCGGTGCGTAGAAACAGCGACGGGTCAGCAGTAGAAGGAGCAAACCCAAGGGCCGCAAGCGTAGTCCTCAGTGTGTCGTGCCACTCACGGGGCGCCTGGCGGAGACCGTAGACTGGCCGCCGGAGGCTCCACTGGGTACCAGGAGGAAACGAACCAGTGAAGTCAGGTGGGCGGCGCAGCCAGATCTCCTCATGCAGGCTGCCCTGTAGGAAAGCAGTGCTGAAGTCAAGAGAGTGAAGCTCGTAGTCGCGCTGAGCGGCTATGTGCAGCAGCACCCGAACAGTGGTCATCTTCGGGGTGGGAGAGAAGGTCTGGAAGTAGTCAACTCCCTGTCGCTGACTGAAGCCTCGAGCCACGTAACGCGCCTTGAAGACAGGTGGAGAACCAGGCGGCTGCTTCACCCTCAAGATCCACATGCCACTGACAATGTTCGCCCCAGGTGAGGGAACCTCGTCGACGTAGGTGCCTGTGGACTTCCAGGAAGCCATCTCTGCGTCCATGGCTGTCTGCCACTGAGAGGAGTAGGGACCCTCTATCGCCTTTGCGTAAGAGCGTGGGGTCGGGATGTCTGGTGCATCCGGGTCTCCCTTAGGGGCAAGCAGCATGGACACAAGATGATGTAAAGCAGCAGCAAAACACTGGAACTCCTCCTGCCTGTCCTCAAGGACGTCCGTGCTAAGAGCTCACTCACCCTCGACGGACGGAGGACAGACAGACTCAGACTCAACAACAAGACTAGCGGCGTAGTCTAGACGACAGTGAGCAGCAAAGTCGACAAGCTCAGCAACTAATGCAGACGCAGCAGTGGACTCATAGGAAGGGTCAGTGACAACAGTGGCCAGGAGACGCGTGACAGTAGGACTGGCAGCACGAAGGGAGTCAGACTCCGGGTCAGCAAGAGCAGGAAGAGAGGACTCTGGAGGAGACGGCAAAGGGACACGCAGTGGAGCAGTGGAAGGACGCAGTTCCATCTGGTGCGTGCCTGGGACCGCAGGAGGACGCTGACGCGGAACACGACGACCAGTGCGAGCAGCACGAACAGGCGACGCAGGACGAGACTCAGACTCACGACGCTCAGCAAGACCTCCAGTAGGACCAGTGTAGGGAGAAGGCCAGCTGTAACTGTGACTCGGACTGGACAGGCGGTGGACACTCTAAGGAAGGAGCAGGACCAGTAGAAGGCGGGAGACCAAGAACCTGCTCAAGGAGCGGAACGAAGTACGGCCGCGGCCGCGCAGCACCTCCAGAACCAGCAGGGACAGCACCAGCACCGGCTCCAGTAGCACCTCCAGCTCCAGCACCTCCAGCAGCTGCAGCTCCAGCAGGACCACCGGAAGACGAAGCAGCTCCAGCTCCAGAACCTCCAGCAGCACCGCCAGCTCCAGCACCGCCAGCAGCTCCAGCACCAGTAGCACCACCAGGCCCAGCAGCTCCAGTACCTCCAGTACGAGCACCTCCGGGACCCGTGGCTCCAGAACCCCCAGCAGCCCCAGCAGCGGAACCTCCAGCGTCGGAAGCACCACCAGCTCCAGCAGCACGGCTCCAGCGCCGAGCAAACCACTTGCGCAGCTCCTGCGGAGAGAGTAGCTCCCGCCGGGACGAAGCACCCGAAGGACCTCCAGGCCCAGCACCGCCAGACTCCACACAAGCATGCCCAGCACCCTCAGGCTCCGCACCCCCAGACTCAGCAACCCCAGGCTCAGCACCCCCAGACTCAGCACCCCCAGGCTCAGCACCCCCAGACCCAGCAACCCCAGGCTCCGCACGCTCAGGCTCAGCACCCCCAGACCCGGTACCCGCAGGCTCAGCACCCCTAGCAGCACCAGAGTCAACATCTACCTCGACAGACTCGACTGCGTCTACCTGGGACACACCTGAGGGGGCAGGATCCTGAGGGGGGAGGGGGTCTACCGGGGGGGGACCTGGCGCGAGGAAGAGCGGCGGGGGGGGGAAGGGGAGCAGTGCTGTAGGGGAAGAGACGGTAGTAGGGAACCGACTCGTCAAACGTGACGTCCTGAGAGGACAGAACACGGCGCGAGGTGGGGTGGTAAAACTGCCAACCTGGCGCGTCAGGGGGGAAGCCAAGGAAGACGCAGGGAACAGAACGGGAGGACAGCTTGTCCGCAGACAAGTCGCGGACGAAAGCTCGAGATCCCCAGACACGGAATGCTGACGCATCGCCAACCTTTCACGTCCACCGCAGAGCAGGGGAGGTCTCCGTCATGGAGACCCGGGGCTGAAGGTTGATCTGATGCGCCGCGTACTGAACCGCGAACGGCCACAGAAAATGGGGGGCAGCCGCATAGATCATGGACGTACGAGCGACGTCCATGACCATGCCAATGCGGCGCTCATAAATCCCATTTTGCTGCGGAGAGGCCGGAAGCGTGAACGTCTGGCGGATGCCCTAGACACGACAGAAGGCTCGCAGAAGGTTGGAGGAAAACTCTCCACCTCTGTCGGAGTGCAGACGCAGAACAGGAAAGTCCGAGTCGAACCTCTCTCTGAGCTGGAGACGGGCAGCGCGGATCCAGTCGATCAACACCTTGTCACAATAGATTTATATCTATTTAGTATAATCTGCCCGTAGTGTAGCTGTTGTGTAATTCCCTTGTATGGTGGTGCACCTCTTTCACCTTTGTTAGGTTGCTATATGTACTCGTGTGCTATAGTGAACCTCCAACCATTTTCAATTCTCCTTGGCACAAACTCATTCGACACCCGTTTGGCCTAGGCTACTAAGCCTAGGCCCTTAGTTAAACCCGTTCCTAGCTAAGTTCGTCTCGTGACATGGTATCAGAGCTAGGTCGTTCCCGACCTATTTCTGAAGCGCCCACCGTTAACCTTCACGATGGCGCGTCCCGTTAACCAGCAAATCGCGGCCCCGTTCGTCCTTTCTCGTCGCTCGCCCATAGCAAAATTCGTCACGGTAGGCATCACGGACACTACGGTCGCGGCGGGAGTGACGGCGATCGTCGACCCGCTGCTTTGCGCCGTCGTTTGCGCCCCCGTCGACCCCGCGCACTACCCGCTACTGCAGCCCGCCACCCGCGCGATTTCCGCTGCTGCAGCCCGTCGCCCGTCCCGTCGCACTGCCGCCCGTCGCCAGATCCCCGCCACCCGTACGCACTCCGTTGCCCGTCGCCAGGTCCCCGCCCGCCCTCCCGTCGTCTTCGCAAGTGCTGTGAAGGGAGTGGCGGGGGTGGCGAGAGTGGTGGGAGTGGCGGGAGAAGTTGCTGCTACGCCATTGCACGCGTCAAATCGTCCGCGACCCACACCCAGCACCCCGCCCGTCGCCCGTACGCCACCTGCACCCGGCACCCCGCCCGCCGCCCGTGCGCCACCCGCACCCCGCACCCCGCCCGTCGCCCGTACGCCATCCGCATCACGCCGACGTCCGTGCCCCCGTCCGCGAGACCCGTCCGAACCCCGTACCTGCACCCAGACCGCCGTTCTGCCCCAGATCCCGCCCCCCCCCCACCGACAACTGCCACCCCACCCCCATCTCCGGCTCCGTATCCAGCGGGAAGGGGAGGAGGTGTGGTGTTGGCCCGAAGGGGACGGCTGGGGGAGGGGGAGTGGCGGGGTTGGCGGCTCATGTAAGGGGGAGGTTGAGGGGGTGGGTAATCCATCTGCAGCTACTGCCGCCACACCTCCCCCTCTCTCTCTCCGCCGCTGCTGCTGCTGTGGGGGGGGAGGTTCAAGGGGTGTGGGTGGTGAAATTTCAACTCAAGCATCATCCGCCTCCTCCTCCTCTCATCCCTTGCCCCGTGCCCATGCCCGTGCTGTCCGCTCGTGTTCCACGTGCCCTTACTGTCCGTACCCGGTTGTGCCCCGCCAGTCTCACCCGTGCTGTCCGTACCCGGTTGTGCCCCGCCAGTCTCACCCGTGGTGTCCGTACCCGGTGCCCCCCGTGTTCCCGTGCTGCCCCCCGTGTTCCCGTGCTGCCCCTCGTGTTCCCGTGCTGCCCCGCTCTCCCCGTGCTGCCCCGTTCTGCCTGTGTTGTGCCCGTTCCCGTGCCGTGTTGCCCCGTTCAGCCCTTGTCCTGCCCCGTTCTTCCTGTGCAGCCCCGTTGTCCCCGTGTTGCCCCGTTCTGCCCGTGTTGCCCCGTTCAGCCCGTGTCCTGCCCCGTTCAGCCCGTGTTTTGCCCTGTTCTGCCCGTGTTGCCCCGTTCAGCCCGTGTCTTGCCCCGTTCTGCCCGTGTTGCCTCGTTCAGCCCGTGTCCTGCCCTGTTCAGCCCGTGTTATGCCCTGTTCTGCCCGTGTTGCCCCGTTCAGCCCGTGTCTGCCCCGTTCAGTCTGTGTTGCCCCGTTCTGCCCGTGTTGCCTTGTTCAGCCCGTGTCCTGCCCCGTTCAGCCCGTGTTCTGCCCTGCTCTGCCCGTGTTGCCCCGTTCAGCCCGCGTCCTGCCCCGTTCTGCCCGAGTTGCCCCGTTCAGCCCGTGTCCTGCCCCGTTCTGCCCGTGTTGCCATGTTCTGCCCGTGCTGCCCCGTTCTGCCTGTTTGTGCCCTACCCGTGCTGTCCGTACCCGTTCGTGCCCCACCCGGTCTGTGCTGCCCGGTCTCGTGCTGCTCGTCACCCCCGTGCGGCCCGTCCCGTACAGCACCTAGTTGCTACCCGAACCCGCTACCCGTACCCGTGCTCCTCGCACACCGTGCACCAGCTGCGGGGCGTTCAACCGCAGCCGGGCACCTGTTCCACCGCGGTGGTTCAGATGCTGCTTGGTGGTTGCTGCTTGTCACTTTCAGAGGGGGCCCCTTGCTGGTGTTCCCAGGCCCTGTAATGGGGTTTTACAGGTGTACCCCTTCAAGGGGGGCTCTGCACATGGTTATGCACTTCAGGCAGATAGGGGGTGTGTCACAATATGTTTATATCTATTTAGTATAATCTGCCTGTAGTGTAGTTGTTGTGTAATTCCCTTGTATGGTGGTGCACCTCTTTCACCTTTGTTAGGTTGCTATATAAACGCGTGTGCTATAGTGAACCTCCAACCATTTTCAATTCTCCTTGGCACAAACTCATTCGACACCCGTTTGGCCTAGGCTACTAAGCCTAGGCCCTTAGTTGAACCCGTTCCTAGCTAAGTTCGTCTCGTGACACACCTCAGTGACCTCACCCTTGCAGCGCAAGGGGAAGACTATGGTGTAACGCGAGTAGTTGGCAACCACCAGCAGGAAGTAACGCTCGTGACCCTGTCCACGGACGCGGGCTGGGCCCCACACGTCCATGTGGAGAGTCTGCAGTGGAGCCTCTGTCGGAGGAAACTCGGAGGAGTGAGGAGCGGCGCGCTGCCGCCCCTCGACGCAGGGAACGCAGGTAGGGGCAGGCCCCGGGGGAAGGGGAGGGAGGGACCGGGGGAGACCAGAGACAAGGACACGGGAGGCCATGCCTCGAAGACGAGGCAGGGAGGGGTGACCAAGGCGGTGGTGCCAGAGGAGAGTCTGGTGAGACAGGAGACGACACGAGTAGGGGGCAGACTCAGGACCAGACCTGGATGCTGCAGCAAACACCTGACCCGTCGCAGCTACCTGACCAGACACAGTAACCGGAGGAGACTCGGTAGTCAGTGTGTAGAGGCTCGACCCCGGCTGACGGGTAAACGTGGCCAAGTGTCGGCCCGTCCGAGCACACGTGCAGTGGGTCACTCGCTGACTTGCAGGAGTGAACTGGTCAACCCCCCCATCCTGCAGGTCAGCACCACTCACCAAGTTCGTGGAGAACGAGGGGAGGTAAAGACCTGACAGGGAGCCAGACGGGGCCGCCGGACACGGTAGGACAGTGGAGTAGTGGGCAAGGACAGGACCCCCAGAGGGGTCTGCCAGGGAGACTGCAACCGGCCGACTAAGCGGCGTGAGTGTGGTGCGGTCTCGAAAGAAGGAGCGGGAAGCACCCGAGTCAAGGGTGAAGGTGTGCAAGACCGCAGCAGGCGCAGCACCAGAGAGAGCAGACTCACCAGCACCTGGAGCAGTAGACTCACCAGCGCCTAGAGCAGCAGCCTCACCAACACCTGGAGCAGGAGACGCACGAGCACCTAGAGCAGCAGCCTCACCGGCACCTGGAGCAGGAGACGCACCAGCACCTAGAGCAGCAGACTCACCTGCACCTAGAGCAGCAGACTGGATACCGGGGTCAGGCGGCACACACAGGTGACAGGCACCCTCAGCACTAGTAGACAATGCATACATGGCAGTGAGGATAGCATCATAGTCAAGAGCAAAGATATATACCCTCTGCCTAAGCAGCTCCACCCAGTCGGGGAGCTCAGCGTCGTCGCCAAACTCTGTACGCCAAGCGTCGCTCAGACGGGCGAAGCAGCGGGACTCTGTGTGACTAACCGTCCCGCAAGGCTGACCAGTCCGGACACCTGTGCGAATGATGTCAAACTATATTTCTATAGCTTGTGTAGTTCTAGTCTAGGTGTTCTCCCTTGTGTTATTTTTGTACTTGCACTAGGGTCTGGTTTTCATATATCTTGTTTGTCCTTTCTGTTTTTTTAGTTAACTTTTACATTGTGACATGGTATAGAGCTAGGTTCACCCTAGCGAGATTTTCCCCTTAGGAAAAATCACTCGACTATCATGGGCCCACCTAGTCGCGCCCCGTCCTAGACTGCCCGTAGCGCGCTTACCTTAGGACCCGTCGCCCGTAGACCCCCCTCCCCCCGTCGCATTCGCCCGTCGCCCGTTTCCCCCCGTCGATCGCGGCCGTTTTCTTTTTTTTTTTCCCCGTCGCCCGTCACCCGTCGCGGCTGTTCCTTAACGGGCCCCGCGGCCTTTCGTTAGCGGGCCCCGCGGCCCTTCGTTAGCGGGCCCCGCGGCCCTTCGTTCGTGGGCCCAGAGGCCCCTTCGCTAGCGTGCCCCGCGGCCCCGTCGTTAGTCGCACGCACGCACAGAAGCAACCGCGCGCACCAATGACCCATCCCCCCACTCGTTTCCCACCGTCGTAACCGCCGCCCCACCCGTTAGATGCGGCCCCACCCGCTGCCTTACCCGCCGCCCACCCTGTTAGCCGTCGCCTCACCCGCGATCTGCCGCCCCACGAGCAGAAAACAGCCGCCACACCAGAAATCGGCCGCCCCAGGAACTGCAAACCGCTGTCCCAGACCTGAAACTGCCGCCCCACCTGGAAACATACTGCCCCACCCGTTCCTGTCACCTCACCCGGAATCAGCCGCCCAACCCAGTACTCTCCACTGCACTGAACCGCACAGAACCGTGCAGAACCGCACAGAACCGCACAGAACCGTGCAGAATCACGCAGAACTGCACAGAACTGTACCGAACCGCACAGAACCGCCGCCTTACCTTCCCCACCCGTCGTCCGCTGCCTTACCAGCCGCCCCACCTGACACCCGCCTCCCCACGAACTACCACACCCGCCGCCAGTAGCACTAGCAGATTACACGGCCGCCAGTAGCACCAGCAGCCTAGTCTACCGCCAGAAGCACCACCAACAACTTAGACTGCCGCCAGTCGCACCAGCAGCAGCTTCCACTGCCGTCAGCGCACCAGCAGCAACTTGAACTACCCCCTAGCAAAACCAGCAACTTACACCGCCCCACCCGGTACTCCCCAACCGCGCAGAACCGCACTGAACTGCACAAAACCGCTCAGAACCGCACCCGCTGCCCCACCCGTTCCAGCCAGAGCTGCTGCCCCACCCGTTCCAGACTCCTCACCCGGAATCAGCCGCCCCACCCGGTACTCTCCACCCCGCAGAACCGCACAGCACCGCACAGAACCGCGCAGAACCGCACTGAACTGCACAGAACCGCGCAGAACCGCACCCGCTGCCTCACCTGTACCAGTCAGAGCTGCCCCCCCCCCCCCCTCTCCACACGACCTGAATCCTCCGCCTCAAGGGCTGAAACCCGCCACCAGCAGCACCAGTAGCAGCAGGTTAGGCTGCCCCAGCGCTCGAGCAGCAGCTTAGGCTACCGCTAGTGCACCAGCAGCACCTTAGGCTGCCCCCAGTGGAACCAGCAGCAGGATAGCCTACCGCCAGCAGCAGTCTAGGCCCACCTGCCAGCACCACCCCCGTTTCTAGCTACTCACATGGCTTGTATTCGAGTTCTACAGCAGCAGGGCCAGCCGCAGCACTCCCGGCAGTGGGGACCTGCGGGTCCAAAGTGTGGAGCCCTCAGCAGTGGCTCAGCTAGCAGTGGGCGAGACGTCGGCCCCTGCGGGTACCGGGCCCTGACAGGCCCTGGTGCTGGCACTACCTGCTGGAGTCCTGATCACTCTGCATCCAGCTGCTACCGTCGACTCGACGACCTCCACCGTGAGCGTTTTGGTCCTCACGCTATCACATTGTGACAAATGACGTACGGGCAGCGAGCAGTACTCAGCGACCCTCTACTCTGAGCGTACCGCTCACGAAGCTGCTGGGGCGAAAGAGCCTCGCGCGGACGACGCTGCAGCTGCACCTGGCCACTACCAGAAGCTCCCAAACTACTCACTCCAGGGCGACTCCCACTACGGCCACCCCGACAACCCCAACTAGCGTACCACTCACGAAGCTGCTGGGGCATGAGGGACTCATGTGGACGGCCCTGGAGCTGCATCTGGCCACGCCAGGAGCTGCATTAGCAGTAGTAGCAGCAGTAACAGCAGTAACAGCAGTAGCGGCAGTAGTAGCGGTAGCAGCGCGGGCAGGGCAGTGCTCACCAGTGGAGGGAAGGGCAGGCGCACGACGGCGGCAACGGCGGGGCCGCTACAGCGGCAGGGCGGGGCCGCGACCGAGGCAGGGAGCTCCGCGGCAGTTGCTGCAGGGCGGGGCCGGGCCGCGACGGCAGCTGGTGCAGGGCAGGGACAGGGCCGCGACGGCAGCTGCTGCAGGGCGGGGCAGTCCGCGACGGCAGCTGCTGCAGGGCGGGGCAGTCCGCGACGGCCGCTGCTGTAGGGCGGGGCAGGGCCGCGACGGCAGCTGCTGCAGGGCGGGGCAGGGGCGGCCGTCCAAAGGGCGGGCGCGGGGTAGGGCAGGGCGCCGCGGCGGGCAGGGGCGACGCCGCGCGGGTCCCGCAGGGGCGTCGCGACGAGCGGGGGCGACGCCCGGGTCCCGTTGGGGCGGCGCGACGCGCAGGAGCCGCGCCTCGCGGGTCCCGCAGGGGCGTCGCGACGAGGCGGGGGCGACGCGTGGGTCCCGCAGGGGCGTCGCGACGAGGCAGGGGCGACGCCCGAGTCCCGCAGAGGTGTCGCGACGAGCAGGGCGACGCGTCGCGGGGTCCAGGGGCCGCGCCGCGGGGTCCAGGGGCGGCTGCGTGGGTGCAGGACAGGCCCGCGCACGGCCTGCAGGGCAGGGCGGCAGGGTGGCGCTCGAGGGCGCGGGTAGGCAGGCGCTCAAGGGCGCGGGTAGGCAGGCGCTCGAGGGCGCGGGTAGGCAGGCGCTCGAGGGCGCGGGTAGGCAGGCGCTCGAGGGCGCGGGTAGTCAGGCGCAAGGCACGTGACAGGGCAGGCAGGCACGACAGTGCGATTCGGGCAGGGCAGAAAAAAAAAAGTTTGTGGTGGGCCCTAAAAACAAACCGGTTCCACTAGGGAACCTGCTCTGAAATCATGTGAGAATGACAGAACAAGGAATTGCTGAACTAGCAAGTAGATGGGTACAAGTAGGAAAACCTAGCAGTGTTGTACCCCATATGGTCTACCCCACTACAGCCTACACAGACTATGTCATGTATGTTTGACATGTTGTCTAAGTACACGATGACCCATTTATCTGGAAGCAGGCGGAAGGCTTTGTTCATTGTCATTTGGAAGGTGGCGGGGGCGTTGTTCAGTTCGAAAG